TTTTTGAGCTCATACGTTATAAGTTTTGTATAACTGCGCTTGGTCAAAATGTGGTAGCAGTACTAATCAACGAAATATGTCATTCAGAAAGATGGAATAAAGTTTTAGATTTAGTTTAAGAGGTGAAGGTTTAGTGCCGGGAAACAGTTTCGTTCAAGCAAACGCTGACTTTTTCCTAAGTGTCCGTAAATATTGCATTAAAATCTTGAAAACCAGATTATAGTGAAGACTTTTAAGTATCACTTAAGTACGAAGTATTCCGCTGAGAAATTTAAAAACGATCGGCTTCGAGAAAAAAAGGAAACAACAAAAAATAAAAAAACAAAAACAAAGACTGATAGGATACATGAATTAAAGTGATAAATAACTTATGACCTTAAAATAAATTTCCCGTTCTTATGATTCATTTTACAGGTCAGCACTCGATTTGCAAAGAATCTTCTACGTGTGTTTCAAAGTGAACAGCCCACACAGTTTGGCAGCACTGCTTCTGTTGTCTCGGCTTTTACTGAGGTTGGCATTTCTTCTATATTGCCATCCCTACTTTGCTCTTATATTATTTTGTGCAACTGGTTTATGAGACTTAACCTTGTTTTTGTGTCGTTTTTTTATTTACAGTTTAGTCGAAAGGTTCATCCGCAGTATCAACGATATTGTTTGAATTACTCAAAAGCTCTAAGTTATTTGGATTCTCTGAAGAAGGACGAAGACTTCCAAGAATTTATAAAGGTAAAATTCAGTTTATCTGTAGTGTATGCTGGCTATCGAAGTAAAGAAAATATCTCTGTAAAAAGCTGTTGTGACCGAATTGATTCATCTTCAGTCTTCCAATATTGTAGTTACAAATTGTCATAATGCGACAGTAGAAAAAAGGATTTAAGTTGCTTAATCGTGAGCGATTGGTTCATTGGCCCACAAATTGTATGTCGTGCGTGCTCGATACGAACGCAGGGGACACATATCGATTGGCTAACAACAGTGTTATTCTATTCTTACTATTTTACAACTTTTTATCTTTAGTGGTGTGAGTCCGACAGTAGATGCAATAGACTCCAAATCACGGATCTTTTAGTGGCACCACTCCAACACCTTACAAAATACCCTCTGCTACTCAAGGTATGTGTCTTGCAAGCATACAAAGGAGACTTTTACTCCGGCGACCATAATATTTTCCCCTCTATCTTTCAAATGTTCAAACGAAAAGTTACCACCTAGTAATTATAATTGTCTTCAAATGTGCTAAAAGTTCAACTACATTTGGGATACGTTGGCGGCGTTCTTGGTAGATTAAGCACCTTCGATGACAATTTTCGGAAGTTAAGGTCACTGTTTGACATATCAAAACGCGGTCATTGTCATAATCTTTTTAATACCTTTTTTATGGCGAAGATGAATATGTTGCAGCTTTTGAGGCACCCTTATCCCTTAAATAGACATGTGCATCAAAGAAGTAACTTTTAAATTCATGAACAATGCCACTGAACCGAATAACTCGATTTTTACTTACAGAACATCAGCAAAAGAACTTCAGAGGGAGATGAGCAACATCGTTCTCTTTCTTCCATCATCAAGGCAGTAGAACTTTCGATACGTAAGTAAATATATTTGCTGGTTTATTCATTGGTGTCATTTCTTCAGTTTGAAATGACATTCAGAACATGACATCTAAAGCAGGCTCAATTTTTACTTTCAGAGGAATTAGAAGGCAAAGTAAAGTCCCGCGCAAACTACGAAAGATTACAAGAGCTCCAAAGTAGTTTAGTTTGGCCTTCCATTGCTGAGCTGGATCCAAAGACATATGTACCCGAGGTGAAGGGTTGATTTTGACTGTTTAGATAACTGAGACAAACGCACGTTCAGATTCTTTTGTTGAAAACCTATTTTGTTGAAAGCCATAAAAAAAAGCATTAGACTGCACTTTCAAATAAAAGCTCCTTAACATAGGGGAAACATCCCAATACTTTTTTTTATGTTAAGTTGCAGTGAAAACCAACAAATGGCAATAGTCAATCAATAGACGGAAGAGATTACATCATTTTGCATTATGTTTTGTTCACTCAAGATAATGAGACGTAGTGAATCATACCCGCGTTTTGAAAAAGGGAAACAGAGGAGTTATAATTATCTGCCCCCAAGTTGTCTTCCGATGATAATAACTTCATTTTGTAAATATTCTGTTTCTTTCTGTGCAGTTTTTGAGAGGAATACTGCTAAAGCAGCCCTGTGAGAGCCTATTAGCAAGTCCAAAGAGACAACTGCTGTACGAAGGACCTCTCATGTTAATTGGTGAGCTATCGCCTAAACCGTTACATTATTACTTAACGACGCGCAGTAATTTCTGTACAGTTCACAACGATAAAAAGCATGGTCTTAAGTGATTACTCATGGGAAACTATGTTTGAAATGTAATTGAAACATGGTGATCCCCGAAAGGGTTTGAACAATGTAATCATTGTGACTCAACGAAAGGCAGACTGGAACTGTTGTGTTCGGTCAAAATGCTCCCTTAACACACGAACTCAACTTTCTTTCGATATCTTCTTTTCTTTCAGAAAACGCCAAAGTCGACGTTTATGCATTCCTGTTCGACGACATGCTTCTTTTAACCAGATCCAGGAAATTTCCTCTAAAAGTAAATAAGGTATGAAACGAGAATGAGTTTGATTCTATCTACTATTTTAAGACTTCGTAAATCATGATTTCATTGAGTAAAATATAAGAGAGCATAAAACTTTTAAAACCCGTTATCTAAGCATCTTGATGATTATGGTTTATCCGTCATTTGATTAGAAACTAAATCTGGCAGGAATGACAGATAGTCCCCCGCCCACTCCTCCCATGGTTAGACGCAGCTTGTCAGGAGCACAATATACAGTTTACAAACAGGTATTTAAATCAAAATGTGGCAGACATAATTTCTACTCTTTAACTTCATCGCTGTGCTTTAATAGTTCGCTCCGTTCAAGGTAAGTTATTCTATATACAAGGCTAAAAGATTAGGAAAAAGAAATCAAAATGTTTAAACCTAACGTTTTTGGCTGTTTGCCATCATCAGGGTTGAAAATAATGACCGTCTGTACATACATATATATCTTATGTGATTCCCGATAGGAAAAGTTTGGAGACATAAGAAATAACTTATTTCGTATGTCTCCAAAGTTTCCCCATCGGGAATCGCATAAGAAATACTTATTTCTTATGTCTCCAAACTTTTCCCATCGGGAATCACATAAGATATATATGTATGAACAGACGGTCATTATTTTCAACCCCGATGATGGCAAACAGCCGAAAACGTTTGGTTATTTTATTAAGCGAACATTATGGACATCATTTAAGGTAAGCGATAACGTTATTCGAGTAGAAATGTCTCCCAAAGTCGTCTGATTAGGAAATGAATTTATTTCATACAACTAGACAAGGTTGCGAGGGCCTGAAGAAACGTATTCTTTGACGAGTAATAGTTTAGAAAATCTTCTTGAAAATTTCTTGTAAAATTGTAAAAACTCAGTGATACACGATGCTCAATTTAGTTAATTTTGTCAATTTTTCAGCCAATACCGCTGGACAGATTCATCATCATTGATGCTGAAGCCACACATGCAGGTAACTTGGCTGTTTATTTTTTTTTACCTCTTGTGAAAAAATGTTTTGCGAACCTATATATTCCTAAAGAATGAGGGATGTGTTTCACATAAACTTGACACCTGTTTTTTTTTTTTTTTTTTAGGAAGCACGTTAAAGAACTCGTTCGTAATAATCCACTACAGCAGATTTAAACAAACAGTGGGATTGTACACGCTACAAGCACCATCACAAAATCTCAAGGTAACATCGTGTCACTGTAATTTTGAAAAATCTTGAAAACAGACATCGTCCTTCTCATTACATTTCTCAGCAACGATAGGAAAATACACTATTCGGTGAGGTAAAGGGACGAGCTAAAAGTAGGGGGGTGGGGGGCCCCCGACACGAACTCACACATCCCGTAACCTTGCCGCTTTAGGCGAGGTTACTAATTGATCAAGGTGAAAGGCCTAGCCGGAAGCTTTTACTTTTTAGGCAAGCTTGTCAGGTATACAAAAGTTTAAATATTTCTATTATGATTTCCCCGGATAGATGAAATTCATAGATTCTATCTTTCTCATATTTTCCCCCCCATACTCCTCACAGGAAACCTGGACCAGCACTCTGAAGGCAGCTCAGGGTAAATGGTCCGAGGCGGTGGCACTCGAACTGGCTGCGGAAACAGAAAAAATGAGCTCCTTTCAGACTAACAATGAAAAAGTCGTTGAACAAGAAACAGAACCTAAGTCTCCAGACGACACAACCTTGAGTCAAACTGAAATGTTGTCTTATTACAAACCCATTGAATCACAGTGTTGACGATACATTTATAGGTCTGAATTTCATCCGTCTCTTCCCTTTACCCCAAGCGGGAAAGAGACGGCTGAAATTCAGACTAATACATTTACTATAATCGTCAAAGAGCGAGACGCTGGTAGAAGCGTTCTTCTTGCTGTTTACTGGTTCACAAAAGCATTACACGCCCAGAGTTCTCTGAGAGTCTGCACCAGTTGTCCCAATCAGTCCAGACGACGACATTCATTTTTAGGCTTCGCCACAAACAATTGAGTCCATTTATTGCCGGTCGACGAAGTCATAAAAAGTTGAATAGAATGTTTACAATCGAACCGGGACATCCAAGTCTTTTAGGGAACAAACTAACTGTAAATAATGAACATACATAAAAAAATTATACTGTAAGTCTATCGAGACACATTACACATTTCTGTTTCGCAAATTGTTGAAAGCAGACCCAAGTTTCGATCATAAAACAACACATCCATACATGCATGGTCGCCCTTAACCATATTTCAAAACGTTCGTTTTGTTCCCATGTACATAGTATGTTCTTTGCGAGTACAGAGTATCCACCGCATACAAAGGGGATTTACACGGATTTCAAGTTAATGGCTTGGACTAAAATAACCGATATAAAATACTGTAGAATGAAAATTGGACTCCTTATTACCACTTAACATTTTTGTCCAAATCAGGTTAATTCTCATTGTTAATCAGTCAATTTTGTAAAATATGTTCTAGATAGAGAATGTAATAGGAAATGATAAACCCAAAGACACACCTTTACGTCATTTGTGTTTTTTGTTTTATATCTGTGTAACTTAAGGCCTGGCTAAACTAGGAAACTTTGTTGCAGAAACATTGTTGCGAGGCAAATGTTTCCCAGTTTAGCCGCGCGGGAAACATATGTTGTGGAAACAAATTTTGGTGCTCGGAAACAAAAATTGTTTTTTCCTGCAGACAAAAACATTTTTGTTTCCCGGACACAAATTTTGCGTCCGAAACATGTTTCCCAGTTTAGCCATGATGAAAACAATGTTGATTAGTTTCCAGTGCCGCTCGCACATTGAAAAATGTTTCATAGCAACGGCGAGCAGACAACAATTAAAATGGGTGACGGCGAAGAAATTCAAGCAGGTCACGCTCAAAGAAAAGGATAGGGAAAGGGAGGGCAAAGGAATTGGAAAGATGAAGAAATTGAAATGCTAATTACGCTGTATGAGGAAAGGCGTTAGGGACGTTAAGCAGTCAGGACGGCAGCGGCATGGAAGTCGTCGATTAAAAAATGGGTTTCCATTTTTAGTTAGAACTTTGAAAATGGTTGCATGTGTTTACCGTCTCATAGGGCGCCAGACCTCAAACTCAACATAAAGCATAAAAGTAGGTTTGAATTCCAAATGTAAATTAAAATAAATTGCCGCCGCGGTTTCGCTTCGCAGACGACGCAAATTTTGGTGATTTCACGTTGTTGTTTTGCAAAGGACGGCTAAGAAATGTACAAAGTTGTTCTGTACATTAGATCTATTGATTTTCTACGTTCTCGTAGCCGTAGCCGTCGTGGTTTGCTTAAAGTCCCTATTTTGACGACGTCAACAACAAACTCTAACTTTGTTTCTCTAAGACTTATCTTAAAAGGTTTCCTAGAGTCAAAGGCAACTAATGGGGAAGAGCTCGTATTAAAAAAAAACTTAAGGCTATGATGGCGGCGCAAGGTTTAGGACGTAGACTGGACCGAAAGACGGCGTATCAATGGTGAAAATCAATCGTCGGAAAACTTCGGTTCCCAACTCGGTTCCTGCAATACGGTTCCCAACTCGGTTCCTAACTCGGTTCCTAACTCGGTTCCTAACTCGGCTCCTAACTCGGTTCCTAACTCGGCTCCTAACTCGGTTCCTAACTCGGTTCCTAACTCGGTTCCTAACTCGGTTCCTAACTCGGTTCCTAACTCGGTTCCTAACTCGGCTCCTAACTCGGTTCCTAACTCGGTTCCTAACTCGGTTCCTAACTCGGTTCCTAACTCGGTTCCTAACTCGGCTCCTAACTCGGTTCCTAACTCGGTTCCTAACTCGGTTCCTAACTCGGTTTCNAATATCGGCCCTCGCTGCGCTCGGTCCATACTGTCAAGACCTCGGACCGATATTCTCCCAGTACGGCCCTCGCGCTTGGTATAAGATATATATATCTCAGTTTGATGTTAATCTTAACCTTTTCCACTCAAACATCAGTATGCATATTCTCCATACTGTTCATCATACATCTCCTCAGGTTCCAGGAACATCTTTTGTTAATCATTTCCTTTATTCTCGAGACTTTAATGTTTGATTCAGGGGTGAAATTGTAAGGAGAAATGTTATGCTAATAATTCCTAGGGATCAAAGGGTGAAGAGTAATTTCACCACACGAAATTACACAATATCAGAGCAGCAGTGAACCCCTCCCCCCCAAAAAAAATAGTTCGTCACTTCCTCGGTTTGTGGAAGCTTTGTTGGCTTTGAGCGCGTTCTCGGGGACGGAAAGATGAAGAATCACGAATTGAAGTTACCTACACGTAATCGGTTCTTCTGCTATCTGAAGGTTCTTATTTGTCCTCCTCGAACAAGGCTGTTTGCTCCTCAGCTTGCATTAAGGGAAGAGAAAACTTTTCTTTCTCCAAACTTCCAACAAAACGTTCACCAACATAGCTATAGGGCAATTCGGTTATTGTGAGACTGAATAAATTTCGAATACGAGCTGAAATCAGGCAAGCTCAGTCCAAAGCAAGAGGTGTTGAAACGTGCAGAGCAAACTGCGACAGAATTTGACAAACACACCACATGCTTGTGCCTGCTACAGTGGGTAACGCGTAAAATCCTTACTCAGGGATTCCCTTCTGGTATAGATTGACTAGGAACCTCATTCGTAAACGCAATCCAGAAACGCATCCTGAAGACGAATTGCGGTAATTTTGAAGGCCACCATTCGCCTAGGTCCTCGTTAATGCTGTAATACCGAGTCGTCTCCATCAACCAATGTGAGGTACCCTCTATTAATTTGATTTACTTTGCTTCTTGTTCATTAGTATTTTGTGTAGAATCATCTCTGTCCTCTGTCTCGTCTTCTTCGTCATCTTCCAAACCGCACAACAATGCGTCATTTTCGTAAGTTGGAAAAAAATACCTGCAATTGAAAACAGGAACATTTTATGGATTTTTTCTGACGAATCATTCTTTGCTTATAGTATTTATCATTCCCGGCCATGTGTTGTGCGGGAAGGTAGCTTGAGCAAACTCGGAAGGCAAAGAGTACCAGGAGTCTTAGATCACAATAGCATCTTCTCTACTGTACCACTGCCTTGCTGTTGCAACACCTACTAAATCCAACTACAACTACAACTCCTACTGCAACTAACTTCTGTTACCAAAAAGCTACGCACTCATGTTCCCATTTGGTTGTGTTTTGTTAACCTTGGGAGCTGACACCACACCTGTGCTGTAAGCGAGATAGCGGCACATCTGACCGAGCAATCAACAATCTGAAGCTCTGACGGCAAATTAAGAGACCACCCCAAGGTTAAGAAAACACTCTGAGATGTGTACCTTGCTCCGATAAAAAGGCCAAAAGTTTCATGCAAATAAAACGGTGAAAATAGTGATAAATATAGAAACATGGAAATCTAGAACGTATCAGCAAGAACCCCTAAGACATCTTTCTCTAAGTGGAGTACACCACAGTTCTGGATTTAAATACATAACATTTGTAAAGGAGATTAAAAACTTCAAAATTAAGGAAAGAAAAACTCACTGAGGTTGATCCCACACCGTACGGTCTTCAGGTAGAGCGAAGTGTTGAGCTTTTGTCATATGTTCCAAAACAGTGGCCTTGCTTGGGAAGTTCTCTTGACACTTCACACAGTTATTTTTATAAACCTGCAGAAAACACATGGGACTGGTTATTGATATTGCTGTCGTAAAACGGCTTGCACCCACCATGAGTGAACTCCCCACAAACCCATTCTACATGTAGCAATTCAAGCAGTTGTTTTTGAATGAATTCGTAAACGTTGCCATTCGGAACTGACTCTTCGGTTTCAGTTATTATCCCTTCAACCTCCATGAGAGACGAAGACAGAGTTTTCATTACAATACGGCTACCGGCGCATGGCGAGTGAAAATTTATCATGCAAATATCCTATTATAACCCATAGAAGAAAGGGAAACGGCAAGAATGTCCTTACAGCATTCGACAAGAACAACTAAAAGAAAAAAAAAAATCAGTGAATCAAGTAAAACGTTGATAACGTTAAGGGACCACAACGACAAGTAAAGTCGTGCATAGGATAAGTTTGCGGGGGATGCACCTAGAAGAGACCCTCAAAACAAAAACAAAAAAAAACAAAAACAAAAAAAAAACAAAAAAAGAGAGAAAAAGGAAAAGAAAACGCACGAACACTCATACACGGAAAAATTGTGGATTCCTGGTCAGTGCACACAATGCATTGTGGTTGACCAGGATCTGAAATATGTTTAATTTAGATATAGAGGCAAGAGCGATAGAACGTAGATAAGTTTTAAAACGGAGCACTATGTTTTTATAATTTTCCAATCATAAATTGCGCAAAATGTACTTGGCGAGTCTCTTTCTTCAGTTCAGTGTAAGACGAAAATGCCTAAAATTACAAAATAATTCATTGTCTCTTCAGCACTATTCATTTCAAACGCAACGCATCTTGGACTTATTTGGAACAAACAGCGTGGTAAACATGCTAGCATACGGAGAAGTTCAGCAGTAACGTGAGTAAAAGATGCACAAAAGAGAAACGGGATTTCCCGTTGGCACACGCCGGTCTAGACTGGCCTGCGAGCGGGCGCTCAATAGGGACCTTAGGGACTTTAAGCAAACCACGACGGCGACGAGAACGTGGAAAAACAATAGATCTAATTGGCAGAACAATAGCTCAGCACGTGCGTTTTAAAACTTTGTACATTTCGTAGCCGTCCTTTGCAAAACAACAACGTGAAATCACCAAAATTTGCGTCGTCTGCGAAGCGAAACCGCGGCGGCAA